GTGTTCAATGAGCCGGTAAATGTAGAGGCTCTTGGGCTCCATGATTATCATGATATAATTAAGCATCCTATGGATTTGGGCACTATTAAGAATAGGCTATCCCAGAATTGGTACAAGTCTCCAAAGGAATTCGCAGAGGATATAAGACTTGTCTTTAGCAATGCCATGACTTATAACCCTAAAGGGCAGGATGTTCATGTAATGGCTGAACAGTTGTCACAGATTTTTGAAGAGAGGTGGGCTGCTATAGAGGCCAAGTATAATCCAGGGTGGAGGTATCAAATGTATCATGATGCAGGCTTGCCCACTCCCACTTCTAGGAGGGCCCATCTTCCTCATCCTTTTGTCCATGAACCTGTGCCTTATCATACACTTGCACATTCTCCTCGAGCAAGGACTTTAGAAAGGTCTGGGTCAATTACTGGGGCAGCTGATGCGAATAAGAAGCCCTTCATTTTCTCTCATGTTGGTAGGACACCAGTTCCCAAGAAACCTAAAGCAAAGGATCCCAATAAGAGGGACATGACGTATGAAGAAAAGCAGAAACTTAGTACAAATCTTGAGAATTTACCTTCAGAAAAGCTTGATGCAATTGTTCAGATCATTAAGAAGAGGAGCACAGCACTTAATCAGAATAACGATGAGATTGAAGTAGACATAGACAGTGTTGATGCAGAAACTCTATGGGAGCTGGATAGGTTTGTGACAAATTACAAAAAGAGTCTGAGCAAGAATAAGAGGAAAGCTGAACTTGCTCTTCAAGCCAGAGCAAGAGCTGCTCAAAGTGCTCCCGCTGCAGTGAGTTTTGAGTCACATATCTCTCTCTCTTCTTGTCTCTCTGTTTGCTTTAAATACATGGTTATCTAGTGTGGATTAGGAATTCTTAGTTTGTCACATTTTTTGTTGTAGAGTTCCGGCCCAATGGTTGCTGATGCACTAAAAGAAAGCAGACCTGGTAAGTTATTTTCTATGAGAATTATTGTTTGAGATTGACATTACATGGAAAATATATATCATAACTCTTGTCTCTTTGCTTATGAGTAGGTGAAATGCATACTAGTGCTCCTTCTACCAATGCAGAAGGTGGGAGACCAGTGGATAATGCAAGCAGTTCCAGCAGCTCAAGCAGTTCTAGCAGTGATTCAGGATCATCCTCCAGTGGTAATAGCTGTTTAGTCAACTGATGAAAAGGAATTATGATTCACTCTGTTGCAAGTCTCCATCTACGCATGAACCATGATCTTTGATATTTGAAGTATTTATTTTGCAGCCAGTATGAAGCTTGTTTGTAACTTCATTTGTCTATGTTTGCAGATTCTGATAGTGATAGTTCATCTACGTATGGATCGGATGCAGGGCATTGACTTAGGATGTGAAGGGATGTTGGAAGTAAGTAAAGACATTAGCTAATACATTTGAGTTTTTCTTTTGGGTGACAATTATCTTTTCCCTGCGAACTTGCACCTTTCTTAATGTTTGGTATGAAATATGCTTTCGAGTATGTTCATTGTGTTCTGGGATTGCTCCATTTCTTCCTGTGGTTGAATCTGTGATTTGGCTTGGTCGGGGAGAATGCACACTTAGGCGTCGATATTTTTTACATCTGATTCCAGTTTTTAACTATTTTCAGAAAGATGGTTAAGGATTAAGAAATAGCTGCTAGGGGGTCGTTTGGTTGGAAATAAGTTATCCCATGATTAATTATCCCGGGATTAGTTATCCCACCCTCCCATAGAAATAAAAAAAATACTACAATTCCGGGATAACTAAATCTTGGGATTAGTTATACCATGATTTTATCCCAACCAAACATGGGATAAACTCATCTCAAATTTCATTCCGGTATTAATTATCCCTTATCCCTCATACCAAACGAGCCCGAAGCCTCTTACTATTTAATGTTGCTTCATGCATATCATCTTCAAATAACTCTCTGATATTTAGGCATGTCAAAAGTATGTGTTACAGGAGGAAACAACGTTGAAATGTTTCATCAACATCTTTCCCAGTATAACCTTTAATATTGAATGGATGTGCTGTAGTTGGGTCCACTTTGGATTTATATGAATGTTCAATATATTTGTTGTGTTAGTTTGTCATATAAATGGCTTTTTCGATCTAGTGATTTTCTAGAATTTAGAATGGTTTAGGAAGGCATAACCAAAATTGTGCAGCCAAGTCTGTAGTTCTTGTCCAGGAGCATACCATTGCTTGAGAACAGAGGTTATAGGATTTCCTGCTGTGCGCATATTCTGTGGTATGTCCCCACATGAATATGCAGATGAATGAAGAATATCTTAGAATGCGAAGTATGATGAGCTTCTCCATATTTTGCAGAGCAAATGGAGTAATCTTAAGTTCTTGACATGTGGAGCATATTCGATATATTCTGATAAAACCGTGTTAGTCTAATAGATGTGTAGTCACATCTATAATCTAGATTTGATCGCTATTGTTTTTTTTAAAAGGTAAAGTTTTATTAACTGAATAGCAAGATGGTACCAGAAAAGAGGACAAAATTGCTGGGAATATCCATGCAGTTAATTACAACATTTTCTACGTAACTCCATAAAATCCATGTAATGATCAATATTATCTACCAAACTACTATTACACCAAAAGAAATAGATTGTGCAGACACTTATTTTTTATTCTAGAAATTGATCTTTCTGCCCATCAAAGCAAGCTCTATTCCTCTCTAGCCAAATAGTCCAGAATATGCAGAGGTATGGTTCTCCAAATCTGTTTAAGTGCTTTATGTGTCTTCTGATGCTGCCAACCATTCAAAAGGTTTCTGACATTCTTGAGGCATGGTCCAAAAAGACCCACATAAACTGAAAAAAAGCTCCCAGCACTGTCTAGCATATCTACAATGCAAGAAAAGGTGATTCGTAGTCTCCAGTTCTTCACATAAATAACATCTGCTATACAGAACAAAGCCTCTCTTATGAAGATTATTTTGAGCAAGGCAAGCTTCCCAAGCTGCAGTCCAACCAAAACAGGCAACCTTTACAGGAGCTTTGTTCCTCCAAATCACTTTCCAAGGCCAATTAGGTTCCCAACTTGCATTTTTCTTAACAAATTATAACAGCTTATGACTCAGAACTTTCTGTCATTACAAGCATTCCACAATAATGAATCCTTCTTACTATGATCAATGTGGGTAGAACTCAACTGAGAAAGCATCTGACAGATATTTTCTATCTCCCAATCATTTAAATTCCTTCTGAAATACATCTGCCAACCAGAATCTGAGAAGAAATCAGCCACCACTCCATCCTTATTGTTACAGCAGTTAAATAAAACAGGAAATTTATCTCTCAAACATTCCTCACCATTCCATAAGTCACTCCAAAATTTTATCTTTCTTCCATTCCCCACCTCCAAGCTAGTAAACTGCTTGAACTCCTCCCATAATTTGCAAACCTCTTTCCAAATTCCCCCTCTAGTATACACGCTACTGAAGGGGGGGATTCCATCCTTGACGACTAGCATAAATAGATTCAACTATTTTAATCATCTAAAAGTTGATACTGATCTATTTCTTCATCTGATAACTTCTTTATTTTACTAGACACTTCCTGAGCGTGCGGTGGTTATGAACTCTGGTATTTTTTTGATTCTAATATATAAGAATTGCCGAGGACTTGGACCATTTGCAGAAACGTTTTGGTTATAAGATTTTAATATCTTCGATATTCAGTTGCTCTCTCCAACAGCCCC